CCCCCCTATTTTTTTTACTACGGAGTACATTTTATTTTATAAAATTGGTCTACGTTATTATTTTGAAGATATACATATGACAATTTTTTGTTACAATAAAAGTATATCTAGTGTAATAGTTTTACATATTTATCGAAAATACTAATTTCTTCCAATTTCTCCTTTCTTTTATTGAACTAAACAAAAACAAACCCAGTAAAGGCCCACAAAAGTCGGGGAGGCGGGAGGGTGTATGTACACATATTTTATCTCTTCTATGAAATAGGGAGACTGGTTTCAAGAGACCCATGACTCAAATACAAAATTACGAAGAAAGAAACCATTGAAGCACGAACATAGCCAAAAGAAGCATACAAGATGACTCTAAAAACTAACATAAAGCACAAAGCACACATTACACACATAGACTAAGCCGTAAAAATGCACTAACATAAACTACAAATTAAGGCTCACATGTCTACCCAGCTACTTTAATCCTTGATCTCCAAGCATTTCTATCTAAGGCCATATCCTCCATAAGATCCTTAACGAATAGGTCCTGTCCTCTATTAAACCAAACGTCATAATTTTCACTCTTCTATTTTCCTCCCCTCCCGTTTGAACCAAAAAAGGGCTTAATTTATGCAGGGAAATGGTTTCTGGAGGGAAGTGACAAGTGAGGGCATATATATTGTTTTCTAATTAAAATAATTGTATATGGTTTATGGTATGGAGCAGTGAATAAATACTAGGAGAATGAGCTTATAGTAATTTGTTCCCTTAACCATGAAGAAACCGTGAATTTATATGTTTTTCCTTCAATTTTTGTGGAAAAAATTGAGTGCACATTATGATATAGACTTGGTCATCCAGAACTCTCCATCCAAACTGATCCTATGTAAAAATATAGACTTTTGGTTCTTCTGCTCTGATTTTATGCATTCTATTCATCTTTACTTGCTCTACTATTTGGCTTTCTGTTTTATAACTTCTATTTCAGGTTCCTAAACTTCCGGATATCGACCCACTGCTACAAAGCAATGCCAAAAGTGCATCTAATGTGATGGATCGTCCACCTATAAGTGAACTGGCTGGTTGAAATGGGCTACAGAGTAATAAACTCCACTTGAACTGTTCTTGAAAAAGTAATGCAACCGCAAGCCAGGTACCTCTAAGTCCACACGCATATATCCATTATTACATACTCCGTATTCATTATCATCAGCAGCGTAATCCCAACTAAGTGCGGGTCATTGGCACATAGTTTTATGCCAGATGCCCTTCGTGTTGCAACCCTCCTAAGTCCTACCACACTAATTATTTCGGCATTTCTAGCTTATGGAACATTCTTTTTGGTATGTTCACAAAAGACTATTGTTCGCAAGGCAATATCATTGTCCACAACCACTAGTGCTGGCCACCACCGGCAACTGCCGCCACCACTGCAGTGTCGTGAACAATAAGCATAGTGCTTGTGAACTTGGAACACGGCGTAAGGATGGCTAGGAATTTACGGTATAACAATTGCGTTATTGATGGCCACTGTCATTGAAAATTAGCAATTGGTACTAACCTCCCAAGTTTGCACTTTTCCACCCTTCTAATTCATGGGTGCAGGATTTTTTGTTTCATTGTATTCAGGCTTATTTTTGACTTTTTTATTTTTATTTTTGTGATGCTCAAACCAGACTGTGTTTTCAACTACAATACAACCTCAGGAACCAAAAGGAATTTCATTTTCCTCGTTGATGTCCACGTGAAAAGAGCTAGAAACAATGTGATTCAAGAAATCACGTTCTTTTCCCAAACGTTTTGCACGCAATTCTCACCAGAAAGTAGCGGATTCTTTCAGGTACAAAACCCACCTCAAATCCAGACACCAGAATATCATACCAAACGAGTTTGAAGGTTGTGCAGTAACCCTCAATAAAAGAATCCCCCCTTTTAGCACCGGCTAATATTCATTTATTATGCATTAAAATTGTAAAAAAGTATAGTGTAGTAATTATGCGAAAAGTGAGTCCTAATACAAATATACAATGCCTTTTTTTACCGTTTAAATGTATAATTAACGAGCCTTGATTAACAAGTCTGATCTTGCATTCTATTTTAAACCGTATAGATATATGTGTTATGTGTATAGGAAATATTGAATGCGAAGTATGCCGTTTTAAGTATGACATTTTGAATGTTATTCAAATTTAATAAACTTGCACATACTTAATTTCTATTCACAATTAGAAGTTGTTAGAATGTGAATATTAATATTTGGATTGAAATTTATTTTCATATTCAAATTTAAAATAATGATGGCTGAGAACATGGTGGTGTTTATAGGACATGAGAGCATGCTTGTGTTTTTGCAAAGAATTGAATAATGACCATATATAGAGAGCTAAGAAGAGCTGCCAGCTATTTATGTTTTTATTTATGTTATGATAATGACTTTTTGGAACCAATTCAGCTGAGCTGTGCTATTTGATAGTATCTTTCTTTAAAAACACAAAATCTTAGCTGCCAAATGTGATAAAGTAGGCCTTACTGATCACATGCATATATTTCTATTAATGTGATGAGAACATTCCATCCTAGTATATATGATTTTTTTTTCTTTCGAAAACATATTTTGTCCTATATATTCTTAGCAAGAAGCTAAAATATGGTCATGTTTGACCCCACCCTTTGGGTGTTTTGTTCATGGCATTGGTGGGTCTAATAATTTGGAGGAATGATATGATGATGGTTTTAGCGTCATCGACTAGTTAAAGCCTATTTGACGAAATTTGATTTCCAGATAGTAATCTTCCAAATATTAGCCACAACGTTTTCTCTTACTCATAATAATAAGAATTAGATCGCGTGTGTTTCCACTTAGATCACCTTTTCTTTCTTTTTATATTTTCACTCCATTTTCCACTCATCCAAACAACAATAATTTTCTTTCTATTTTCTCTTCATTTTCTTTCCTCTCTATTTCCTTTCCATCCAATTTCTTTTCACTCATTTTCTCTTTTTATCCAAACAATGGCTAAAAGACCAATGAACAAAATTGGAAAAAATATGATCAAAATCACTGAAATTTAGCTTCCTATCCATATATCCGATCGGACACATCTTAGAATAGTTAGGCCAAACTTGTTAAAACCATTCGAACCCAAACCAAGCAATTGAATCGATCGGATGGCAAATTGGATATGAATCCGGTCCAATCCGATTAAGAGACGCAAAAACCAGTACCACTAGGGCTTTTGCTATTTTTTTTGGTATTTTGCTTCTTTTTTTAGTTTTAAATTTTATTTTTATCTTTTTAGCCTCTCAAGTATTTTTTTAAACATCCAAGGTAGTTCGAAGAAAAAAAGAGGAAAAAGCGCTTTATTTATTTTTCATCTAAAAATAAATACTCCCTCCGTCCCAATTTAAATCGTCCGTTTTGACTTTTGGACATATTTAAGGAAAATAAAAAATAGAGTTGATTTTTCGAAATTGACATTACTTTTTAAGAGGGATGATGATGAATGAGAAGATAATGTGAAAAAGAGTGACTTATTTTAAGGGTAGTTTAGGTATTTTATTTTTAAAAGTTTACAAAAACAACTAACAGACAATTTATTTTGGGACAGAGAAAAAAGGTAAACATGCAATTTAAAATGGGACGAAGGAAGTATAAATAATTTTTACCTAGTGCGGAGTATATTTTGTCATCTTTGTAATCAAGTGTAGAATGTTTACATACTTAGTCTTTTTTCTATGTTTTTTCCAATCAATTAAATGTATATCCTCCGTAAGTAATATGGAGCAAGACATTAGCCAGGTAAAACAATTAAACAAATATGGATTGGTCATTAAATATACGTTGACCGGGCCTTTGACACGGTTCGACCAACCCGACCGCTCATTCTTAGCTTGACCCATTTCGATTTCATAAACGCTAATGTACACCATCATGGCTCTTTTAAGACGGAGAGAGAGTGTTAGATAAATAAGATAGTTAAATAACTCAAACTGCATCTTGTTTTGTAGATTTTTATATAGTTTTAAAAAATTAAAACGTAGATTTTTACTTTTTAAATACTCCGTATTATATTAAGTAATTTTCAAATTAATTAAATTAAATATAACTTCTTGCAAAGATCGTAAACTGTAAATAAAATCTTATTATGAGACGAAAGTAGTATATAAATATACTCGATGATTGTTAGTGATCAAAGTATTACTACATCCATTTTAAAATTAACTTCCCATTTGATTTTTCAAGGTCTCTAAAGTGACACTTTGACTATCAATATCTCTATTTTTTATACAAATATATATTATAAAAATAATATATTTTAAAACTATGTTTCAAAATGAATCTATTGATAATAAATTTATATGAAAATTTAATCTATTTTTGCATAATATACGGTCAAAGTTTAAATTTTTTTAGAAAAGCTAAACTAGGAAGTTAATTTTAAAAATGAAAAAATCCATCCATAAAATAATAGAACAATTAATTCGGAAAGTAAGGAATATTTATTTGAGATTTGAGAACGAATATATTTTCCTTCTTATTTAAGTAATTTTAAAATTAAAATGATAACTGGTGAGCATGTTTTCTGTTTTTTTATTGAAACTTTTCCATCTTGTAAGAAAATTAGATTCACCTTTAAGAAAGAAAATGAGCGAATGGGGAGAAGCATGTTGTTTTGTCTAAAGCTTTGTTGACTACCTTTTTTTTAAAACACTACGGAGTATATTATTGACTACCATTTTAAATTCATCAAAAATCTTTTTTTACTATATTATACTCCAACAATAAAGTTCTCGGACATTAGTCACATGATCAAACATTATTCACTTTATTTACTTATTTGATAAAATAGTATAGTAATGTCACATCTAGTTTTATAGATATTTTTATGTACTTCATCCATCCAAAAATTTCTTTTTCAATTCGACCTTGGACGGATATTAAAAAAAGTTAAAAAAAAGTAAAAATTTTTCATATGTTGTCATTGATGTGATAAAATAAAATAAATAATGTTGATAAAAAAATAGAGGTGTAATGACACATTCATTGTAATTTTTTTGCAAAAATAAGAAATGGAAAAAAAATTAGACAACTAAAAAAGAAAAGTGAGAAAGAAATTAATGGATGCAGAGAGTAATTTTTAAATATGTAATTTTTATTTTTAAAATTCTATATAATTTTTTTTATAAAATGATTTAAAAAATAATTTCAATCAAACATCATAACGCACAACGCGGATTTTATTTATGGACGAAGAGAGTATTAAACTCTTAAACTCCTTCCATCTCACACGAGTTTTTACATTTTTTTCATTCTTCCAGAAATAGTTTTCACTTTTATTCTTTGCTTTTACAAAAAAACGATATGGCTAGGATTTCTAAGTTTCCTTTTCCATTTGTTCGAAATAATTCTTTTAGCTTCTAAACTTTTTTTTTTAAAAAAAATGTAGTCTATACCTACATTTCTCTCGTTGAAAATTATGAGTAGATGTCAGCACAATTTTAAAAAAATCAAATTTATCTTGGTGTAAGTTTTCAAAAAATTATTTATTTTTATCGTATGCACATATAACACAAAGTTAATACTCCGTATAATTAATGATCAAAATTCACCTAATTTAACACCCAAAAATGTCATGAGTCAAACTCCAAATTAATACAATGAGGCATCTATAGTCTATTTGTTTTTTTTTATTTGAAGAAAAATTTAACGCCCACAGAGCGAGTTTTTACTTTTTACCGTTACTCTTTTTTTTTTCCTTTCGGTAATTCATCTTTTTCCTATTTCGATTCAGTTTCTTGATCGGTCAAAAACCAATAAATAAATAATTGATCGAAACGCGGCGGAAACAAACTTTAACACTCGCCGGATTCTCAGAGCTCTGACCCAAAAACTTCCCCTTCCCCACTTCATCGTCGTCAGATCCGGAAAGTAACTGCCCCCCTTCTTCTTGGAGGTTCCAGAGCCCCGCCGGAAAACCCGTTTTTCTCGGAGGATCCGGACATGGATTCTTCGGAGCCACGGCGCAAGCGCAAGCGCCTCCTCCGGCAGTCGACGGCGACGGCGATTTCTCCGCTGCTCACAGTAAGGTCTTTCCTCTTGTGCCTATGCTTCTTGCTCTTCGTCTACCTTCTCTCCTTCAAAATCCCCATCGCCCCCTCCTCTTTCCGCCCCGTACTGGTCGTCTCGAGCTTCTCTCTGCTCTCTTCTTCGTCTTCTAATGGCGTCGAATCGCTTCCGGGCGTCGATCGGTTCTTGCTCCCGAGAATCGAGGGTAGGGTTTTGTTCCCGGATCACATTCTATTGCTGGTCAGGAAAAACGGGTTGCCGGTTCACGAGAAACTGGAGTGTGTGTATCCCAGTAGAGAAAGTCAGATTTCCGCCCATGTATTGTCCTCTGATGATTATGATCAATCTAGGGTGATTTTCAGATGCCCTCTTCCGCCCGGGAATAGTTCAGCCGCGGCGGCAGCGGCGGCAAGTTTGAGAAAAGTTGGGGGGAAACCTGTTGTGAAGGGGAGGAGAAATCAGACGGCGGTGGTGGCTTCTTGGGATAGTGTGGTGTACGCCGCCGCGCTGGATGGGGACAGCGCGGTTGTGTTCGTGAAAGGGCTGAATTTGAGGCGAGACAGAGAATCCAGCCCGAGATGGTTCAGTTGCCATTTTTGGTTAGGGAAGAAGATGAAGGAGGAGGATCGCCGGAGGGTTGAGGTTCTGCAGACTAGGGCTGTAACTGCCGCTCAGGAGGTGGTTAGGTGCCAGTTACCGGCGAGCATTAAGGATTCTCCCGAGGAAGCGTTGGGCGGTAGAGTTACAGTCGGGACGATGATGACGGCCCCACGCGGCAGCCGCCGCGTAGAGGAAGGCCGCCGCTTCCTTTTCCCTTCCGTGGCCGAGGTATCGAGGGTAGAATCGGGAGGCGGCGGGAAGCAGCACGGGCTTTGTGCTTGTACGATGGTGTGGAACCAAGCTCCGGCTTTGCGTGAATGGATCACTTACCATGCGTGGCTAGGCGTCGAGCGGTGGTTCATCTACGACAACAACAGCGACGACGCGATCGAGGACGTGATCTATGACCCCGAGATGCGAAACTTCAACGTGACGAGGCACGTTTGGCCGTGGATCAAGACGCAAGAAGCCGGGTTCTCGCATTGTGCCCTGAGGGCAAAATCGGAATGTGATTGGGTCGCCTTCATGGACGTCGACGAGTTCTTCTACCTGCCGTACTCCTCGCCGCATTACCAATTCCGTAAACCCGGCTATGCTTCCGAAAACGCCCTCCGGGATTTGGTGAGGAACGTCTCTTTGTCGTCGCCGGGAACGTTGGGAGAGATCAGAACGGCGTGCCACAGTTACGGTCCGTCTGGGTTGGACAGGCCCCCTGCGCAGGGAGTCATGGTGGGGTACACATGTCGGGTGAAGAGCCCCGAGAGGCACAAGTCGATCGTGCGGCCGGACGCGGTGGACCCCACGCTACTCAACGTGGTGCACCATTTCCGACTCAAGAAGGGGTTCAGGTTCATGGACACGCCTCAAGGCACGGCGGTGATAAACCATTACAAGTACCAGGTGTGGGAGGTTTTCAGGGCCAAGTTCTTCAGGAGGGTGGCGACTTACGTGGCCGACTGGACGGAGAATCAAAACGAGGGGTCAAGGGATAGAGCGCCGGGTTTAGGGACAGAGGCCATCGAGCCACCCAATTGGCGTTTACAGTTCTGTGAGGTATGGGATACTGGGCTTAGGGACTTTGTTTTGGCTAACTTTGCAGATTCTTCAACTGGTTTTCTGCCCTGGGAAACATCTCCTCAATATGAACAATGAATCCCAGCCAATGAACTATCATTCTTTCACCATTTTTCATCAAACTCTTCTTTTTTTCCTAATACATAACTGTAGTGCAGGATAGTTTTTTTTTGGTTTTTTTGCATATATGAATACTTTTGTAACAGTTTGTTATATGAAACTACCCATGTCTTTCTTAAATTTTCTATCCATTTGCTATTTGCAAGTTCTGCTAGTTTTGGTGCTTCTATATATGAATGAAGTCCCCTTATGCAGGAGAATACAAAGTCTAGTTAGGAAACTCACTAACTAAAGACAATGCTAATAGGTAGTAATCCTAACTAAAAACAGAGTAGGACCTAAGAATGTCCTAATCTGTAATAACCGAAAGCGATACGATTTTGTGGCTCACTTGGCATGTATCAGAAGAATACTTGTCGAAGTTCGGCGTCACGATACCTTAGTTGGCACTTTCTGCAATTGTCCTATGAAGAAGACCTTGAAGTTTCAGATATGTCACCCACAACTTTTGTGAGTGTAGCATCTAATTTCCCCCCAATCAAAGCAATCCATGCCTGCAGGTCAACAATGGGTAGGGATTGGGTGAGACAAGTTCTCTCTCTCTCTCTCTCTCTCTCACACACACACACACACACACACACACAAAAGCTAAAGACATTTCCATCATTTAAAGGGGAAGTATGAAATTTTCATTTCCTTTCAATAATCAATAGCCATGCACCTAAAATGGAAGGAATAAAAAACAGAAGTGACAAATAGTCATGGGACAAAAAGAGGAAATGAATTCCATATAAAAAGTTCCAAGTTTGGTATATGATGACATGGTTTAAATGAGGAGAAAAATTGAATGGTAAGGATTTACCTGATCAGAAGTTGTGAATCCTCGGACTAAATCACCACCAATTATAGCAACTCCTTTTACTCCAACAGGTTGCAAAATTACAGACTAAAGAGCAAATTGTATCATTAGCAAAAACATCCTCTTCAGCCACGAAAATAATAGAGAAATCAATCAAACAGAAATCTATGGAGGTTTTGAAAGCACATGCTGCAGACACTTGGAAGAAGGGCCTTACTGAGACATGATAATACAAACCATAATTGTGGATAAGACTAGAATCCCTCAAACTGAATCTCACCCTATTCTCTAATTTAGTTCTTGCTTTCCCTTTTTAGGATGTCCCCAAATTAAATTTGCATTTCCTGATTAAGTAATTTCGTTCGTAGGTAGAAAACATATCCCTAAAAAGTTGTCACTTTTTATGAGAATGGACTGAAAAAAGAAATAAAGAGCACAATCAACAATTCTAATACCTGTGTATTCGAAGGCAAAAATGGTAACTCTGACTTCCCAGGATAAAGAGATAAGTTCGCCAAATACCTCTCTGAAATATACAATTACAGACCCCATGCACACAAAACCAAGTTCACATTATCAAAAGCATTGCAGTGGGAAATAAACAAAAGTGCAGGAAAAAAGCTCTTATCAGTTTACGTTGTTTACGTGATCCGGATTTTGTGACATCTTGATAAAGTGACCCTTGTATTAATTTTTCAGTGTTGACATGGACTGCCCCATTTGATGAAGAAGCAGGAAAAACTCCCTTTTGAAGTATACATTTGTTATGATAAACAATAACTAGAGACCTGCAGCATGTCACATTTGATAGAGAATCCCATGCCCTGTAAGGAGCCAAGAAAATAAATAATAGAAGCTGAGTATAGGAATATAGGGTGTCACAATGCCATAATGTCACAGGATGGGGCAAACCAGGCAAGTACCAGAGCAATTCAGATATTGCAAATGCAGGAAGACCAGATGCAATTCTTTGGCAATCCACACCCGTAGGGTCTACCTGAAATCGAACTTTAAAAAATCAGGACAAGCAATATCGGTGTATCCCACCACTTTAGGGCCTTCCCTTCCTTATTAAGTCAAAGCTAGATCGATCCATTGGTGGTTCCTGGGGGGGGGGACTGCCCACTCAATGGTTTGGGACAACTTGTATGGATATCAGTTTAAGTGAGTGTTCCCACTGTCCAGTTGTCCAGTCCGGCATAAGCGGCATGCTATTAATTTCAGTATCCATGTCAATTGTTGAGTGGGTTTGACTCTTTAGGTCGTGTAGTATACGAGTATGAGGTTAAAGGTTGATCTCACCTCTTGAATGTGTTAGACCAATTTACCAATAATCAACAGGAGTATGCAAGAATTGCAACAAGGCTTTGATCACTCACAACAGCTATCGATTTTGGTTTGATGGAGAGCCACACAAGACCATTCAAGATGCTGGTAACAGCCAATCCCAGTGTTAACAAATCTGCCCTGGATTGTGAACTGTGATATCTCATAAACATATGGTAAAAACAAGAGTCAGATAACAATGGAGAATTTAATCAAAGGCAAAAGAGTAAAGGCTTCAAACGGCTCTATAATTTTCTTAAAAAGTGAATGATTGGAGATCAGATAACACCTAAATGAGATGCACCTCAGTATGTACTGCTTATGATATGAATGGATGTAACAAAAGAAATTCCCCCCCAAAAAAAACTTACTTTCCACTATCAACTTTCCTAAACTAGATATAAGAAATGTGAACTAAACTATCACTACTTAAAAGAAGAATCATTCGGCGCCTAAAAATCTCAATAACGAGACAGAAGACATTGTCAAAATTCTTTCAGAGCAATAGTATTGTAGCAAGTCATCAACATCTTTGGGATTGTCCGCTAATAATACTCAAACCTTTAATATTACAAGAAATAATCCCACCTTTTGGAGTAGTCTCTGTTAGTTTAATTGTTAATACTAAAGGTGGGGTGCATTCCGGCCACAACTCTAAAATATGGAGTATTCAGTACCTATATTAAAGGTGAGAATATAATTAACAACCCACAAAAGGTCAAATTGTTGTGCACAAACTTTTCATTATTCTATTACTATATTCAGATCATTATAAATTAAATACTACTCCGGGGAAGTTATTAACAAACATAGTTTTAATGAGCATTGCATTTTTTTTCTCTAGTCTCCACCTCTAATCCTCTATTAGCAGTTGAGGCCAGGATGTACATTGGCACCACCATATTTAACTATGGTAAGATATTACTGGCTTGCAATATATACAGCCATACATGAAGTTTGTGAACACATGATTATTATTCCTTTTTCATTTTTGAAGGTCTTCACTCTTCAGGGCATTTGTAAACTACGGACAATTATTATTTTTGGGTGAGTTAAGTCCATTCTCAGCTGGATTTGAGTCTAGTTACTCTAGTATATAAGTGTGAGGTAAACCAAGCCTCATAAAGATTCTTTTTTGGATGAGTTAAGTCCAGTTTCATGAGTTTATTTTGGAACCTGCTTGGATATGACCATATGTGTGGCTTGATCCCCGTGACCGAGGTGCGTGGGCAGCTTTCAAGGTTTCATTCTAAGTGCAATCACAACAAGAAAATTACATTTTTTTTTTCAATTGTACCAACAAAGTAACAAATTGGACTGTGAAGTATGAAATCTTAAATCTAGAGTTTGAAAATTGGAGTTTGAATTACTGGAGTTAAAAATTGAATAGAACATCCCCTACTATTTAAAGCCCATACAAAATTCACTTTCCATATGATTTCACATCTGATTATGGCAGGAGATCATTGTCTACATAAAATACGTGCATAAAACATGGGAAGATTATTGATTAAGACGAGGTTTAGGGTGTGTTTAGCAACCAATGTCAAAATATTGTTTTTCAAAATGATGAGCTTATCAGGATTTTCAGTTCAGCATTGCGATAATTGAAAATGTTAATTCATCAAACATCTCATTCAGCATTTTGACCAGTAAAAATGTTGTCTTGGGTCAAAATGCTGAAAAACAGCCTATTGCTGATCAAATTCTTGCTAACAAAACCAAGCAAATATCAATTGAATAAACTAGTAAAACAAAAGGAGCTGAAAAGTAAAGGTAAAGTGGCCAGAGTGACCTGCCGGCATCAGCTACCGGAGCAATGCCGGAGACGGCGCGATTGACGAGAACCGCCAATAGAGATACCCCTCCGACATATATAGGCAAACGGCGAACGGCGCCGTCATTGCTCGACACCCAATCCGCCACCAATTCCCTCTTCGGCTTCGGCCCTCTGTAGCTTCCTCCCTTCAAATTTTCACACCAAAGCTTTTCGCCAGGAGCAATATAAAACGCAAAAACTCAACACTCGGAGGGAATTAAAACTGGAATTTCGTTACCTGAGGATTGTTCAGAGAAGCTTTCGCGGTGAGGCGATGCCGGAAAGAAGGGATCCGGCGAGAACTCCGGTGCCGTCGCAAATCTGTTTTTAACGGAATAAGGTGGTTAAGGAGTCGCGTTTCCATCTAAGAGAGAGATCTGTTTATGCCTCGTTTGTTCTTTGTAGTAAAATACTTCCTATTATGCTAAAAAAACCATTTTAGGCTCGTCTAAAAAAAGGCTTTAAAGATTTTTTTTTAAGTTTAAAAGACTACAATGTATTTTTATCAACGGTCCAGTTCCAGTGACACCGGAAAACGATACCACTCCGGTGCCACTGGATTTTTGGGGCACCTCCGGTGCTCCGTTCGTAAAATTGACGGTTCCTATCCTCCATAACCCACCCCCTAAACCCCCCACCCCAACCCCGTCATAACCCCCCACAAAATGTGTTGCTTTTGTTTAAAAAGGAATATTTTAAGCTCATCTATTCCCTAGCTTCTACATTGCACTCCTTGAAGATCCCATCATCTACCTAGTCACTGCAGTTAGCTTACAAAACTTGCTGCAAGTTTCTGAACCATCTTTCGTTCGGCCTCATCCCCGGTCTCGGGCGCAAGGAAATATTTTACGAGGACCAACGTGTGATCATCTGGAGAAATGCCCTTAACAACCACTTCACCAAAGAGCACAGTTGCCTCAAAGCATTTGCCTGTTCTAATCGGCTCTTTCAGTATAAGATCGTAAGCGACAATATCAGGCGAGACACCATTCCCAAGGCTTCACCCGTTGATCCCCTCTCGGCAAAGCCCTTTGACCATCGCAGTGCATGTGCGCCCGTCGAACCCCAACCGTTGACCATTCGAGACCAAACTATTGAACAAACCACGTGCAAGAACATGTTGCCCCGACTTGCGCAGCCCATCGATCATGATGTTACCAAAAACACGAGAGCCATTCCCATTTGTGTTTAACTTAGTATAGGCTGACATTGCCTATAATTTGTAATTTGTGATAAAAATGTGACATACTCAAATTTTTATTGTAAATATCTTTTTGATTATCAAAATTTTATACTCCGTAATATAATTTATTTAAAACTACACTTTGTAGCATTTCTTAATACCTCATATAATTTTAATTTTTAAAATATATAACTTTTATTTTTAAAATTCAACATTGATTTTTCAAATAAACTAAATTTTAAAAAAAAGATTAAATATCATAATGCGCAAAAAAAACTGTAGGGGCAATAAAAATAAATAAAAATGCAGTTGCATTAAAATGTTTTAGTACTCAATATCCAATTGCAATGCCATTTTGAAAAATTGTATCCCCATTAAGAATCTAAGTACAAACAAATGCAAGCCCTGCATACACCACCCACAACTACACATTCTCAGAAGTTAACAATTAAGTACTCTTCACAACAACCCTAAAAAAATGAACAAAAAATGTAGACAAATAAAAGATCTCAATGTTTTTTTCTTCTTTCAAAATGCACATAGTACTCAAGACTCAGTAGAGAGAGAGAGAGAGAGAGAGAGAGAGAGAGACTGAGAGAGTATACATCTACAATGGCATGAACACTGGCAAGGGGACAACAACAGGTGCAAGCGATCGAGAGTTGACTTTGACCATCACAAAAAATAGTCGGGTGTCTTCCTCGTGGTGTCGGGCTCAATCTGCCGAGGGGCGGGGTCGAATTGGAGGAAATTCTGGTCCATGTTTTCGCCGATTTCTAGTATGGCTGCCATGTTACCGCACCGGTAACAGTAGTTTGGTGCGCTAAATACTGTCACCACATTCTTCTCCTGCAGAGTGGCAAATGATCAACACAGTCATTATTAAGGGTGGATTTGGGGGGAAATGATAAACACAATCATTATTAAGGGTAGATTTGGGGGTAATGAGTGTGCAACAACACACTTAATTAAATCCCTAGATAAGTACTCGGAGGGTGTGTATCCAGATCTTACCCCTACAAAAAAAGAGGTGTCCAAGAGAACCTCTGCTTTTGGGGGTATATAAATTCTAAATTTCAATAAAATAGTTAGACCCCCTATGTCACACCTTCATTAAAACAAAAACAATCTTTTTTAACCAGTTCACTTTTCCTACCATCCACTCTTCATTCCTCTCCCCTTTCTTTTGAACCAAACAAGGTATAGGGCTATATTTTGGGGCTAAATTCACAAGTGGATGAGAGGAGTGGTTTTTTTTTTCATTTCACGAAAGTGAAGCTTTAAGCATGATTCTGTACAAGAAAAGATATAAAAGGAAAATCTTAGTCCTTGATTTTTATTAAACCATATATTTTAATNCCCCCCCCCCCCCCCCCCCTTGCGCACACACATTGTTTGAAGACCCTAAAAAACCCAACATCGAAACACACCCAAGAGAAAATGAGAATTAAATAAACAAATATAAGGTGAAAGGGGTTCATTAAGGCCAACAACCTGACACCAATTGTAACCCTCCATCACAAGCTGATGAGCTCTGGAAATCAGAGTGAGCCCATTAGTGTGGTTGAACTGAGCAGCTATATCCTGCCCGAAGGTGTACCCAGCCCCTCGAGGAGATATCCCCCAACCACAACGATCATCCGGATCAGACCACAACAGATCACACATCGGCCCTTCATGGGGGACCTACAATTTATCGAAGCAGAAGACAATAATTGGATTGAGTGTCTCATAAAAACATCAAAAAGATTTTTATCACTCCTAATTTTCATGAGTGGAGCTTAGAAAAGGTTTAATTACATCATTCACGTCAAATCACGACCCTGGACATATTTGAAATTTACATATAAGCTCTTTGACTAAGTGATTAGTTAGATTTTCCACAAATGACAGTGGAAGATGATAAGATTCAATATTAAATTATGATAGTTGGAATTGGGGGTCTTTGGACTACATACTATCAACAATTGTCTCAAAGATACTTTAATTAGAGAAAGATTAAAGTATTGTAGTATATAAATGCATTAAAAACATAATATTTATGAATATCATTACGTTCTTTATTAACCTTTCAGTGTTAAGAGGCCATTCACCAAAAATCTGACTAATTAAGGAGCTTATTTGTAATTTCAAAAACTTCAAGTTAATTGGTAATTTGACCAAACCTCGATGAAGGTAGATGTAATTAACCCTCAAAGAAAGCAGAAGGCAGCAGGCAGGGGGCTAGCCACTAGGAAGGTGGTTAAGTTAGGCCTAGTGCCTAGGCAGGACCAAGCAGGGATTGGTAGGAGAACACTTTAAAAAGAACTGCTACAACTTCCCGAGTTATGACAAAACAACTTATCCATTCACTCAAAAAAGACTAACATATCCAATACCTCTTGTATACGATCTAGGGCTCGGATATTATCAAGTGTATCCAATGAGGGTGAGAGCCCACCATGTAAACAGAATACCTGTATGAATAACAAATCTTGTTTCAGTAATAACTTTGCAAATGAGATCATTAAAAAGTGTTTCATCTGTGGACAGTGAATAAACCTGGCTCTCAATAAGTGCTGTTAGGGGTAGATAGTCAAATAGATCAGTGAAAAACTTCCAAACATTGGCATTCCCGTACTTCCTCAAGCATTCGTCATAGAAACCATATCTGGCAGAAGCACGTGCATCAAAATAATGTCAAATCTCAATGAGGTAGAAAAACACAAGTACCACAAAATTCAGAGAAATATTTTTTCCCTGAAAGGATGGGCAGACATATCTGACAAGATAATTAGTGTATCTTGTTATTACTTCTCCTTCTACATCAAAATATTTTGAATCAAATCTTTTGACCAGAATAGTTAAATCCCAACATTTGGAGTTATTAGAGACCTTTCAAATGCAGCAGGTACAGCAAACTAGCAACACCAATTACAAAAAAAAGTTTATTAGCAATAACAGGAACAAAAATAATCATATATTCCATCTGCCTGATGTGGGGTATCTATGAATACTGAATAGAAAACCACAACCAAACAAGAACACACACAAAACAGAAATCAAAAAGGAGAAAACGGAACACAAGATTTATAGTGGTTCGGTCGGCTGACCTAATCCACTTTGCAACTAGGGTTTTTATTATCCAGGTGCTCACAGAATTACAAGTACAGAGATCCCTATTTATGAAGACTAAACTAGGGTTGAAAACTTAATCCCCAAGTTTGGCCCAAGCCCACAGAGAATTAGGGCCGGCTAAATTAAAAACCTAATTTACTGCCATATGGGTCGAACCAAGACTAGGGCCGGCTGCCCTTCCTGGTCGAGCCTCCACACTCAATTCGCCCAACAATCTCCCACTTGGAGGCTCGAACAACGCCCCTTAGTCTTCATCATTTGTAACTCTTGTAATCCTCATTTTCCACTAGTTGCAGCGGCCTTCTCTTCAGTTATCTGAAAGCCCGTTGAAGCTCCCACTGAACTTCAACTCATCAGTCACAACCCGTGACTCGTTCTCTTTCTCTGCTAGCTCCGAGTGTGACACATCTATCACTCTCCTGGCTTCTAAGACAAACTGAGAACCTACATTCTCCAAACCAAGCAAATTGTTAACAGGAGAAACAAAATTGGACTGAAGCACGACCTGTGCTCCCACTGTCACAAAATTCCCTGACTGGTTGAACCTTCCGAGCTAGTTCATCCTGAATCTGTACTCTTTCTCTGAGTTTCTCCTTTGCAAAGGTAACCCTCTTTAGCACACGAGATTCTTTGAACCGGACCTTTTCTTTTACAAAAAACTGGACTTGCTCCTTCTGGAGGTATCTCGACCATATATAACGAGCCCCTTTTCTTGCCACGAGCAACAACAAGATTTCCTTTGACCACCTTCCACTGTCCACGACCAAATTTAACATCAAGACCCGAATCATCCAACTGCCCAACTGAGATAAGCATCCTCTTCAAGCTTGGAATGACTCTGACGTTTTTCAAAGTCCAAGTGGCTCCAACTGAAGTTTTCAAGTCATATAGGGGGTACGGGCATTGTAGGTCTTAAAGTAGCAATGGTTCAGCATGGAATGGTTTCAGGGGTTAGAAGTCTTTCTTCATCATCTTCATGCTGTGTGTGGCATGAACAGATGTACCAGAATCCATCACCCAGGAATCTATACTACTCTCTACGCTACAGATTAGCACATCATCACTATTGTCTGAGCAGCTTTCTGCAGTATTCACTTCCTTTTTACCATTCGGACACTGACTTCTAAAATGTCCCGTCTGTTTGCAATCCCAACAGACAATTCCTTCCCGATGCTTGGACTGACTCTTGCCTCTACCACGGTTGCTTCCTCTTTCATTCCTTCTTCCTCTGACTTCAGTACTCAACAGTGCACTCGAAGAATCCCCTAAACTTCTGCGTTTGATGTCTTCACCTAGAATCAAGTCCCGAATTCCTTCAAAAGTAAACTTAGTAGTACCAGATGCACTACTAATTGCAGTCACTGTTCCAGACCAACTGTCAGGCAAAGAAGATAAAAGCAGCAACGCCTGAAGTTCATCATCAAACTTAATTCCAACTGATCCTAACCGAGTTATGACTGAATTAAACTGGTTAATGTGAATGGTAACTGAAGCACCCTCCCTCATTCTAGTGTTAACCAACTGTCTGATCAAAAACACCTTGTCCAATGCTGAGGGTTTCTCGTACATATTCGACAAAGCTTTCATTAACCCATGTGTAGTCGTTTCATTGACTATGTTGAAAGCAACACTCTTCGCCAATGACAACCTAACCACTCCCAAAGCTTTCCTGTCCAAAATCGCCCAATCTGCATCACTCATCTTTTCTGGCTTTTCTCCCGATAACGTTTGGTATAAGTCTTTCTGATAAAGAACATCCTCGATTTGCATCTTCCGAAACCCAAAATCACTTCCATCAAACTTTTCAATCTTTATCTTTTCATCTGCCATTGTTTCTATACACGGCTGAAAAACTGATCTGAGATTGAAAAAAACCAATAACAAACTAACCTTGGCAGCGGCTATTCGGAACCCTAGCAACGGCGGCTAAACAAAACCCTAGCAGCAGCGGCTATTCGGAACCCTAGCGCGGTTACTGTTCACAAGACAGTACAGACCGTATTCTGCAGCGGAAACTATGACGGTGGCGGAACTGATCTTCAAACCCTTCAAAACCCTAATCTTTGATTTGAACCTGATCTCCACGAACCCGAGGGAAGACTTCAACGATCACGAGCCTAAGGCTCCGACACCAGTTGTTGGGGTATCTATGAATACTGAATAGCAAACCACAACCAAACAAGAACACACACAAAACAGAAATCAAAACGGAGAAAACGAAACACAAGATTTATAGTGGTTCGATCGGCTGACCTAATCCACTTTGCCACTAGGGTTTTTATTATCCAGGTGCTCACAGAATTACAAGTACAGAGATCCCTATTTATGAAGACTAAACTAGGGTTGAAAACTTAATCCCCAAGTTTGGCCCAAGCCCACATAGAGAATTAGGGCCGGCTAAATTAAAAACCTAATTTACTGCCATATGGGTCGAACCAAGACTAGGGCCGGCTGCCCTTCCTGGTCGAGCCTCCACACTCAATTCGCCCAACACCTGAAGTATAAGAGACATTTGATTTAAGCGTGATTTTTAACAAGAATAGATAAACCATGATTTTTATATCGAAAAAATGTCCCTCAAATAGGTTTAACTGTTGAATAATTTTACTTAGTTAGAAAGTAGTAAGAGTGGAGGGGTAAAAGGAAACTGGCATTGGTTTATGACATTGAAAAAGTGAACATTACCTGGGGATGACCTACAATAGAAACTATAAAAAAAACTAAACGACAAGACAAATATACTTTTAACTTGAGATTTCTAATATACTTTTAAGTTGAGATTTCTATACAGTGATGAGGACCATTAAATACTCTAAAGTCATTCTAAGTCAGTTTATAAATTATTCGTGTTAGTGATCTAACTTTATCAAACACCTTCATACTGTTCTTATCAATTATATGCATGGGGAAAAAAAATCAGAAGTATTATATCCAGTCTCTCTGATAGCTCAAGCTTGGAAAACATATTTCAAGATGACATCCGAGCAGACAAAAAAAATTAGATTCAAAGCTTGAGCAACTCATCATAGAATACTTTTATAATAGACTGTAGAGGATCGCCAATGTTTGGTGGACTCAATGACAAGTTGAAATTGTGGCGTCACTCCCTAGAATCCAAAGGCTTCATATTATGCAGGAATAAGACCGAATGCATGGAATGTTGCTTCAGTGGTCAGGTGACGGAGTCGGAAGTAGAAGGATTGATTCATTCCCAATGCCTAAAAGAGGCCAGTTTTAGTTTCTTGGTTCAGCCATTCAGACAGATAAAGAGATAGACGGGGATGCTGTCCACCGTATAGGAGTCGCTTGGTCAAAATGGATCATTGGAAGCTTGCTTCATGTGTCCTTTGTGACAATAAAATATCAACTAGCATGAAAAGGAAGTTCTGCCGGTTAGTGGTTAGACGAGCTATGCTTTAAAGAGGGGGCTGCCGGACAGTGAAGAAAACCCACCTTTGTCAACTTTGTGTGCAGAAATGAGGATGTTGCGGTGAACGTGTGGACAGAAAAGGTTGTATAGGATTTGGAATGAGTTTATTTGTGGATAGGTGGGAGTAACACCTGCGGATAAGCTATGGGAAGCTAGGCTAAGGTGGTTAGGGCATGTGAATGAGGAAGTCATGAGGCCCCAATGCGGACATGCATGAAACTTGCGGTAATGGGCGGATTAAGAGCAGGGGTCGATGTTGGAGGAGTTGGAAGGAGATGATTAGACACGGCTTACTTCTAGTCCATGACCTTAGATAAGAGCATCTGGAGATCTAAAATTAGAGTAATTGGGTAATCTTTTGGCCTTTGTGGTTGTATGTTGTTGCTTTTGTAACTTTTTACTTTATGTGCTTGGGGTCTAGTCCTAGGGTTGGTCTGTGTGCTTCTCTTGGCGCATTTTCTTTGCCCTAGGTTTGCTCTTTACTCTTTGCTACTTATTTGTTCTTATCTTGGTCGTGCTTTTGTGTCTTCTTTGTTGGTTCAAGTGCTTGAGTTGGGGTTTTTTTGGAAACAATCTCTTTACTTCTGAGTAGGGGTAAGGTTTGTGAACACACTCTTCCCAGACCCTACTTTTATGAGAGTTTACTAGGTTTGTTGTTGCTGCTGCTGCAGCTGCTTACTTTAATACTTTTATATGTTCTCATCAGACAAATATGTAACGTACACGGTATGGACATGTTGAGGATAAAACACATATATTAAATGTACACAATTTAGACTTTTTTGTTCAGGAACATGCTACGGCTAAAAAAGTGCAGAAGCAATAGTTGAAAATAAAAAATGACATGCAGTTATGCTCTTCATGAACAGGGGATGAGGGAGGGGCCTTTGAGACCTAGTCAAAGTCTACGGGGGCTTACCTTGGACAAAAAACCCAATTAAGAATAAAAAGTTGAAACCAGATAGCCTACAAATGAATCAATATGCATAAACATAAAATGAATAATCAAAAAGTATTAAGCTCACGTCATTATAAAATTATAAATCCATTTAGTAGACAACGCATTCTAGCCTTACCAGCCAAATTTAATGCTAACTTAATTGCTTTCGTCAAAAAGGGGTATAAAAGTGACTTTTATTGATGAAATGCAAGGAAATCGAACTTCTACCTTTATTATGATACTATTTTCTTTATATCATAAATACATTTTTAAAAAGATAATTTACTCCATTTAGGTCATTCATCAGTTTAAGCAACTTCAGTGAGTCAAACAATTCAGCCATTTCAGCCAAAATTTGCCCTTACCAGATGGGCTATAAGACACATTCTGTTCACAAGTAAGATTCTCCTAACCATCATAAAATTCTGAGGCGTACATTTGATAAAAAAAATGAAAAACTTACACTTGGGTGATTTGCCGGCTTTCATGGTTTCCTCTAAGTATTGTGATTCTGTCTCTGTAGCGGACTTTGAGAGCAACCAAAAGTGTAACAGTCTCCACTGAGTAATAACCACGATCTGCATTCATTAGAAGCATTACTACCAAGATTCAAAGAAACCAACAAAGCTTTTTAAAAAGAAGAAATGCAGATATATAGAAAGTAAACAAGATACACACACATTAGACTAGAGTGCTAAACTCCATGGTACCACTTTTGCCCTGACTTTACTGAAGAACACATAGTTCCCGGAAGAGGTAATATTGAAGCAGTAAGATTATTTGATCTATCGCCCATGGATATCATAGGTATGAGATGCAGCCCCCAATCAATCACTATATGCTAGTTTTTGATTAAACAAATAGAATTGTGCATTTACCATGAATAATTCATTATTGAGAAGTTTCTTTAAGATAGGTGGGAGTAACTTCATCAATCTTATCATCCGATCCTTTACCAGATTAATTTTTACAAAGTTTGCAATGATCGAATATTACATGGATTTGTTATTTTCTTGATTGTACTAGATAGAGATGCTGCCAAGTGACAATGAAATCGTTTGCATTGACCTTCTTAAACTCATCATAATCATACATAATTAACCAATTGACAATAAAAGCAAAGCATATTCAGATCTGCTGAAAGCTACCCATGTCTATGAAGAAATGTTATTCAACCTGCTGAAGTAGACTTAACACCATATATCAGAAAAACTAACTGATTAAAAAATGATAGATATTTAGCTATTTGTAATTCTTCAGCGTCCAACCAGGATATTAGTTCGATTTCTCATCTTTCACACAGAAACCAGTTTATATTACATAGACATACTCATTAGAGCACCCATCAACAAACTAAGCAGAAACCCACTGAATTCAAAGCATCTACCCATCACCAAGCTTCGAGTAGGATAGAATAATAGGATATTCACCATCCTACTCCAGAGAATATGATATCCAACTCACCAACATAATCTCCCATGAAGAGGTAATTCGTGTCGGGAGCATTGCCGCCGATGCGAAACAGCTCGATCAGATCATAGAACTGGCCGTGAATGTCTCCACACACCGTGACCGGACATTTCACCGGCTGCACGTTCCACTCCTCCACCAGAATCGCCCTCGCCTGATCGCACAACGTTTTCACCTCCGATTCCGTCAGGGGCTTGCACTCCATCAGCTGCTCGATCTGCCGATCCAGATCCCCGTGCGCAGGCATTCTTCCCCCACTCTTATTCCACCGATGCACAATCTTCACCCCTCCAGCTTCCCTCCTGAGGATTTCACGCTCCGCAATCAAAATCGGTGGGGGGAAAACCCCAGAAAAACTCAAAAATTAATGAAGCATTGAACTTTTACATACCAGAAGCAGAAAGTCAGCCGAAATCGAATCGAAATCGATCCAGCATCTAGAACAGGAAAGCAAAAGTTGAGGGTTTCGCCGATCCAATCATTGCGAGTGTCTGAGATTCATCTCCATTAATTAATACGAACGAATCTATGAATCTCTCTTTCTGCGAATTAATTTTGAGGAAAAAAACAGCAAAAATTTCGTACAGCAAATTCTGCGCAATATGTTGATTTAAGATCTTTTTTATGAGGAGAAACAAAATATAATTTGGGGAATGAAACTCAAATGAAGCGAAATGAAAAGCATTTCTTTTCTCCCACTAAAAAAAAGAAAAAGAATTTTCTCGCTCAGACGGCTCCTTCGTTTGGTCAAAATTTAGAAGTGTGAGGCCACACGTGTCCAATTTGAAGCGATCGTAAAAAAGAGTGCGAGTAATAATATGGTACGGTAAATTATCTCTTAGGTTAGTCCCTTCCTCTTAAAAAAATGTTATTTTGCCCAAAATGTTATTTTAAATTTAATTTATTTAAAATTTAGTTTTGTACTCCCTCCGTCCCCCTAAGATGTTCTCATTTTGACTTTTGGTAATTTTTAAGGAAAGTTGAAAAAAAGTGAGTTTACCATAATACCCTTAATGAAAAATGGGTGGAGTGTATTAAATGAGATGGATGAAGTGTAATAAATAAAGTAAGTAATGGTGGTTGTGGTATTTTAATTGTTAAAAAATAAAATGAGAAGATCTATTGTGCACATAGAAAAGGGCTATTGAGAAGATCTATGAGGGACGGAGGGAATAATAAAAAGTAAAAATTGATATGTTTTAAAACAATATTAAAAGTTCAACAAAAAATCAAAAGTGACAAAAAAAATTATTACTTAAAATTATCAATGTAAATTCACAATTAAAAAATTGTGAATAAATGTGATATTCTTTTTTAGACTAAAAGAGTATATTTTAGCTTCTAGAGCATCTCCAATACGAAATCTATCACTAAAGATACCGAGTAGAGTTTATAACAATAAATTACTTTAGGATTCTTTCAAATTTTTGTTAAGAATTTTCAAGTTCACATTATTTAAAATATACTTTTGAAGTACAATCGATTTTTTGTTAAGAATTCTAAGAGATCAGAGAGTCATTAAAGTTTGTATTAATATATTTCGAGGGTACATTATGTCTATTTGGTCATTAGGATTATACGTTCTATTGCTTGGACAAATACTTAATTTTACCTTGATAATCTTTATTTTATCAAAATTTAATAAAACTATTCAGTTTGTCAGAGTATTATTTCACGAATTTTAAGAACTCTATAACATATTTTGGATAATATGGGACAAAGAATTCTTGCTGAAAAATTGAGGGTATACAGAATATATTTCAAAATATATGGGACCTGAGAATTTTACGAGAAAATCGAAGATGCTCCAAAATAATTTTTTAGGGTTTATAGCTATTGTTGTAGACTATTTTGAAATCCAATAGGGTAGCTATATTTTAGTTAGGTCTCTAAAACGCATGTTGCATCATCTATTTGTAGATATTACTATTCATTTCTTATAAAAGTATAAACAATGAAAATATAAAGAAATTATTTTCTTTTTTTTACTTTTATGGTTGACTTTTGTTTTACTTTACTCTTATGTAGATAAATTTTCAAATATAAACTATTAAAAAGATAATACCAATATTGGAAATTGTGATTTTGATATAACAAAAGAAGGAAATTATACTTTTATAGAGTTTTAGATTTATTTTAGGTCTTCAAAGAATTTATTCCTCTTAAAAGAAAGAGGATTGTCATTCAATTAAGTTCACGTTTTTAATCGAGGGAAGGAGTACGTGGCTCTACGAGTAGACATGACAAAAGATTGACTATTTTTTTACCTAAGAGTTGACCCGAAAATACTAAGTTTCAATTTTTTTAAACAAAAGTTTTATTGACCAAACTCGAAATGACTAGCTAAAAAAGCATCAAACAATTCCAAACCCAAACCCAACCACCTGCTAATGTAAGATTTTTTAAAATCATGTACTATAGTATGAAAAATAATGTATTTAAAGTAAATTCATGTTCTACTTTTGTATCACGAAGTATTCATTTTTAGTATATAAACTATATTTTAAACATTTTTTAATGATATCACATAAATATCTTACATTTTTCAAAAGTGATTCATATTTAAGTTTTCATATTATTCATAATATTACTCCCTCCGTCCTAAAACGTTCTTCTCAATTTGACTTTTCCCCTTTTTTAATTTTTGGCTTTGACTTCAAATTTTACCCTCTTTAAAAAAGATTTTTTGAAAATTTTTTTTTGCAATCATTCAAAATATAAAGTTAGGACGGAGAAAAATGGGAAGTGGGAAGAACGTTTTAGGACGGAGGGAGTATTAAATATATCTAAAAAGTAATTAAAAGTTTAAAATAAAATATTCGAAGAACTTTAATATAAGTATGTTGATATTTTATTAATTTTCAAGACAAAATGCAAGTGCTAGTATGGATATTACTCGTTGGATTCTAAAAATAAACTTTAGAACTCGTTGGATTAACACGAACGCGATGACACTGGATCATAAACATGTAGTTATTAACCAAACCCGACCTAACCCACCAATTCACCGGGTCTATCTAGGAGCATGTGATTCCACCAAGAATCCACATTTTATAACTAAGTTGCATTTTCCTGCAGATGTTTTTTTTTTGTAAGAAAACCAATTCATAATCACAAATGATAGCCTAAAATACACCTTTTTTAGCACAAACAGGAACCTAAAATACATTTAATTAACATACTTTTAACACAATACTTTAGATATGATATTATTCATTCTGAATCAAATTTTCACATAATTGTTTTTCACCACCTCTTATTAGAAGATCTAATACTTCTGGAATTGGTAAACTCTTATACCTTAAAATCACAAATTTTAGAGTGAATTTTGCATCAAAGACTCAGTTTTGTACTTTTGTTTACTTTGATGGCATTTGGTGGACAATAGGATCTGTGACATATGGTTAACAGCTTTGATACTTAACAGATGAAAGTATATCTCAGAGCAAAATAGCATATTATTGCACCCATTAGTTGAATGTAAACATCTTAAGTTACAAACTTACAGAAACTGCTAATCACATCATGTTAGATCCCATCACCATGCAATACATGTCCACAAGCTTCAATCCATCATTTGATAAAATTTGTATCAACAGCTTGATACTACATTATAATAATTGAGTCATTAGTACTAAAAAAATCGCCTTTTTGCATGAACGTTTAAAAGTTACGCAGCAAATTTCTGGATTACCTTCACGATTGCATCGTCTCCGGTTCCAAGGTCGCCCATTATCCTTAACAAGTCTAAGGCTGCTTCTGTTAGCCCCTCTCTACAGAGTCCATTTATCACTGCATTGTACGTATACGCGTTTACGTCTGTTACAAAAAATTACCTCCCAAACCCTTCCCCCAATCACTCCAATATTGAATTCATTCACACATTCGTCACTTCTTCGGTTGTAACTCAAGAGCGGATGATTAAGCAATCCACCAGAAGTATGAATTTTAATTAAGCAGAAGAACAAGGTCAAAAATCTCCACACACACAGTCAGATTAAAACATTTGCTGCAAATTTTCGGATCACCTTCGGCACTGGTTCATTTCCTGTTCCAAATGCAAGCAACTCATTCATCAAGGTCAATGTGTAAACGTCTGGAGAAATGCACCTGCTAGACATTTCATCTAATAACATATTGACCCCCAAGTTTAGTTGACTAGGGTCAATTTTTGAATCCAAAGTCAACTAAACTTGGGAGGTCCAATTGACGGGGATGGGCGGGGGAGGGTTCAAGTCCACTCGAGATTTTGTGAATTAAGCTCCGTTAGGTGGCTCAAAATCTCAGTAGCAACAGAACTGGCCCAAATAAAATGTGAATGAATATGTATAAGATTACAAACCCATTTAGGAAATCAAGCAAAACACGAGAAAACGTGAAAAAGAAGATCAAAGTACTATAAGGAGATTGCATTTAGAATAAGCTCTTATCATAAGAAAAGCCTGTGAAGGCTGTCATGAGCATGAATGTAGCTGCAGTTAAAGAACAATATTCAGGTGATTTTTTTTTGGAAGTTTAAAGGATACAGAAGTTATTGTCTGCGTTTGGAAAAATCAAACATAAGACACACTTGTTGAAAAAAGGACAGACAGTTAAACTAGCCCAAATACACAAAAAATGTAGTCCCATAAAAGAGAGGGGAAATGCCACTCTAATATCTTTCATTACATTTAGTAGTGTTAAATAGGTTACTTTGAGAAAATAAAGGAATTGTAACCTTGGCTTTGTGGGAAGCTGGTCTATGTCTGTTACTGCTATCAACTAGGAAGGAGAATTTGCTCTTCATCCATTAAACGTGGCCCATTTAAGGAATGAATACCCGACACGGGTATAGGAATACCAAGTCCATACCTCGTGCTTTGCTACAAAAAGTTACCTCCCAAACCCTTCCCCCACTTACTCCAATATTGAACTCATTTACACATTCGTCACTTCTTCGGTTGTAACACAAGAGCGGATTATTAAGTAATCCATTAGAAGTAGGAATTTATTAAGCAGAAGAACAAGGACCAAAATCTCCACACACATGGTCAGATTAAAACATTCGCTGTGAATTTACCGATCACCTCCGGCACTGTTTCATTACCTGCTCCAAATGCAAGTAAGTCATTCATCAAGGTCAATGTGTAAATGTCTGGAGAAATGCACTTGCTAGACATTTCATCTAATAACATATTTGCCTCGTGCATTTTTTTCATTCTAACAAATTCTTTCAAGATAACATTGTAAGTGAACGAATCCGGTAAGCAATCAGTTTCGCCCATTCTCCTAAGAAGGTCTAAGGCTTCATGTACTAATCCCTCTTGACATAGCCCATTTATCATTGCAGTGTATGTATGCACACTTAGGTGTTGACCTTTAAAGATGAGATTACTCAATATGCCACGTGCAATACTGAGTAGCCCCATCTTGCACAACCCATCTATCATGATGCTACCAAAAACATGAGAACCTTTCCTGTTACTAACTAACTTACTATAGACTGACATTGCCTCTTCAATATGTCTGTTTTCGCACAAACCGGTAAGTAAGACACAATAAGTGTGAAAATTTGGTGCATGTCCAGAAAGTTGCATATCCTGAAAAAGATTTAGAGCATCGTCACATCGGCCTGCCAGAAACAGCCCTTGCAACATTGTTGTGTATGTAACAACATTAGGATATAGCCCTTTCTGAGGCATTTCATGAAAAAGATGGAAGGCCTCATCCATTTCTTTTCTTCTGCAATATCCATTGATTATCGTGTTATAGCTCATACGATCAGGTTGAAGGCCTTTGTCTATCATCCGACCAAGAGCTCTCCGAGCATCATCCATCTGCCCTTGCAAACAATACCCCTCAATCAAAGCATTGTAAGTTACCACATTCGGATACACGTTTCGTTGAATCATGATTTGAATGACAGCTTCGGCGTCTTTCAGCTTCCCCTCCTTGCAAAAGGCATCCACTAATATACTGAACGTACATACATTTGGATACACATTATGCCGCACCATCTCATTCATCAACTTCGTAACGTCTCTCCATCGGCAAAAACTGCAGAGCCCTTGAATCAATGAAGTGTATGTGATGATGTTTGGGGAAACCCGTCTTTCTGTCATCTGAGAGAGAAGGTCAAGAGCCTTATCGACCAATCCGTCTTTGCATAGAGAATTAATAACAGTGTTATATGCTACGTGATCAGGCTCAGGCCCCTCCTTTTGCATCACTACGAGTACATTTAGAGCAGTTTGAGTATTACCTGCCTTGCAAAGCCCATTCATAAGAACATTGTAAGTGATATTGTAAACTTCACACAAATCTTCCCTAACCAACTTCTTGAATAGCCCTACGGCCTCAACAATGTTATTATCCAGACAAAGACCCTTGATCAGGGTGTTGGACGCCACCGTGTCGAAATCAATTCCACACTTGAAGAACATCCCGAGAACACAAAACCCATACTCCGCCCGATTTGAGAGGCAGAAGGCCTCAATCAGAATGGTTAAGGAATGAGCGTCCACGGGGACACCGCGGACGCGCATTTCTTTAAAGAAGCAAACAGCAGCCGTATAATGTTTGATCTTCACAACTCTGCTAAGAAGCTTGGTGAACTGGACAATAGAAGGCAAGGGTCGGGCGCGAAGCATTTGATCGAACAGTTCGTGGGCGTGGTCTAAATCATGTACTGAATAGAAACCACATCCAGAGTGAGCGCTGCTTCGATGTGAAGAAGAAACAAGTGCAGGGGGAGAGTGAAATGAACGCAGGGAAGAGGACGAAGAAGCAGCAACAGAGTATATTCTTCTTCGGCTGAATTTGTTGAAGAAGGAGAATGAAGAAGAAAGGGCACTTCTCTTAAATTCCATTTCCCGCTATTGAGAAGCTCTCAAGAGGGCCTTGTTTTATTTAACAGACTACTGACTACTCCAACTAGAGGTGGTAAATCAGTCGGTCACATTCGTATGTCATGATTTGGTGTCATTGAGTTCGGGTTGATCTAACGAGTTATGACTTTGGTTTTTTAATTTTTTAAATTCACGTTAACACTTATATTTTCTATTAAATAAATTTAAAATATCAAAAATAAGTATTAAATCTATAAAATTATTTTACTTTGAACTCTAAAGTAGTTTTTAGATATATAAATCAATATAAGGAATTTAAGAATACTTAAGTTTTGGAAAAAGTAAGATAATTATGCAATATTATTAAAATTGTCTGAAAATATAAATTTATACACTAGAAACGAGTAAAAAAGTGTATAATTTTGAAAAATTCTTACTTTAGCGGGTCGGTCAGGTCGGGTTCGGTCGGGTTTGACCCATTTTTAGCGGATCATTTTGGGTTCGGTCAACTTCGGATTTGATCATCAAAACTTTTGTTCAAAACCCAGTGTTTTCAGGTCGGGTTTTGGGTCAAAAACAGATCGGGTCACTTTTTGCCAGGTCTAACGTCTCCACCCAACCACCTGCAAAATAACTTAAATAATTTGTTAACATATGATAAATATACAAAAATTTCATGTGTCCAAGTTTAACATTTCACTTTAAACTTGGACAAAGAGAATTGTTTTGTTATCTAAAATTGATTTTCCTACCTATTTATTTGAGTGTGATCATTTAATTAAATAATTTTTTGAGTACTGTTTTTTTAACAATATTTTCTAACTCTTAGTTTTTTCTAATTTTTTTCAATTCTGTTCCATTTTTCCAGCATCTAACTTTAAAATTCCATCTGAAAAATAAACATACTTAAAACATATTTTTTGGATTAGAAAAATTCACTCCTAATTTTTTGAAACCTTTTCTTGTTTTTTATAATTCTTTCTAATTTCTCTCAACAAAGACTTAAGAATATTATTTAGATAAGATAAATATATAATAACATCATATATGTAAATTTATAGCACACTACTTCAAATCTCAAAAAAAATCTTTTCTTCTTTTAAAATTTACCATAATTTTTTTACACATTTTTTCGATAATTATTTAATTACATAATTTTGTAACACGTTATTTTTTCGGAAAAAGCTATGTGTACACCATATGTGTACACCACTTGTACACCATACATACCCCCTCCCCCCTAACTTTCCATAACCCCCTCCCACTACTCCATCCCCCCATCAAAGGTATTGGGGGACGAGAGAGAGAGAGTGTCTAAAGAGGCTGCTTCGTATGGCCTTCTCGTAGGGAAGAGGCTCTCGAAGAGGAAGCAGAAGGGGCAAGAAGGAGACGTCGTTGGGGATCAAGCGGTAGGAGGTAGCTCACGTAGCCACCTTCTAAGTTGAACCGTTTCTCGCGGAGGAAACTCTTCTTCGATTTTTTGCTCCCATCCGGCCACGGTAAAATAACAAATTAAAGGTAATAATAAATAATTATATTTCAATTTTAGGGTTTTTATTTTGTAAATCTAGATTCAATCGCTCAATCCTTCCTTTTTGTGAAATTAGCCTTTGTTTATGTGTTTTGTGAATCATTGTTTCTTGAACTTGTTCAATTGTTTATTTCCTTTTTGAATCTTTTCAGTTGTTAATTTTTCATTAATAACATGTTCTAATTAGGCATTTTTCATGTTTATTACGAAATGTCTGTGTAGTACTTCTCACAGGTGTAAAATGTTTGTATTCTAATTAAGAGTATTCGATTTCAAAAATTGTTTTGAAATGTCTATGATGTGCTTCTAGCTTGCATAAAATGTCTGTATTTAAAAAAGAACTTGTTCTATTTCATAAATTATTTGAAAGTGTTTGTGAAGTGTTTGTTACTGGCATAGAATGTCTGTTTTCCAAATAAGGATGCTCAATTTCAAATCTTGCTATGAAATGTCTCTGAAGAGCTTCATTGCTTTTTAGTGTGGAATGCATGTTTCATAATTAATAGTTTGTCTTATTTTAAAAGTTACTTTGAAATGTATTTCAAGTGTGTATTATTAGCTTAAAATGTATGTATTTCATTATCACCAATATTTAAGGTTTGTTAGTCAATAAATTACCGGTGTTTTACATTGGTTCAATAGCACATGAGAAATATGAATTCAACTATCTAGAAAGTGTACATGATTTATGTTTGCTTCATAAACATTCTTTTTTGTGATAAATAATAATTGTGATTGAATTACTTTTCTTGATTGTTTGTTTGTTAAGTTTCAGAGTTAGACTTAATTATATTCCCTTGTGGTTGCTTTTGATGTAGAAGATTGAAAGTTGGAAGATTGGAGGTAGTTGTATTTGGATTTTTACTATGTTAAGAACCTCATTTGAATTTCATTGAGGTTACCCAGACATTATGTGTCTTTGGTAAACAAGTACAGATATTGAGTGTATGTGAATTACTTACTCATAGATGAACATTGTTGATGACATTTATTTTTTCTAATAGATTGAGAAAAGTGCACAGATTTCTTCGGACCATGGCATCTTCCTCTTCGACTTCCAACTACTGTGTGAAGAAGGAGACAAGGAGACAATATGAAGCAATTTCTTCCAACTTGAAGATGGCGAGGCCTGAATTAGATCTACGTTATGGTACAGTAAAGTGTGATTGTTTGCCTCAATCAAGAAATTGTGTAATTCGAGTTGTGACTGACCATGAGAAGCCAAACAAAGGTAGGCTTTTTTATACTTGTGATCACTGTGGGTTTTTTCTTTGGTGTCATCCACTGAAGGCTGAATTTCGAGGTGAGCCACTGCCAATTGATAACTCTGTAATGGGTCGGTTTGTTCGAAACTATGGAGAATTTGAGGAGAAGAGCTATTTACATGAGAATGCACGTAGAGCTCAAAACGAAGTGAATGCAGCTGTGCCCCGTGAGAATCATTCCAATAGGGGCGTGAATTTATATCAAACCATAAACCTCTTTTGCAAGTTGTTGGGTCTTGTTGTTGTTTTGGTTGCTCTTTTGAAGTAGGTTGATGTATTTAGTAGTGTTCTTGGGGCTGTGTAGTATTTTGAGTTGTTAATGTTCAAGTACTTATGTACCAATGTTGTATGACTTGTGTTGAGTGAATTTGTGAAATTTGTGTAATGGTATTCAGGCAGAAACATGAATTGGTATTCTGGAAAAATTGGTTAATGTATGTGAACTCCTACTCACAGACGCAGAATGTCTATTTTTAATGTTAATGTCTTGCCTGCTTCGTATCATGTATTTATCTTTCTGAATTTTTACTTTTTGTTCTTGTATTATGAACACTAAGTTCTTAATTGCAATTTTGCATGTTTTGAAAAAAATGGTAAATGTATGTGAACTTCTACTCACAGACGTAGAATGTTTGTTTTCAATATTAATTGCTTGCCTGCTTCGTATCATGTATTTATCTTTCTGAATATTTACTTTTTGTTCTTGTATTATGAACAATAAGTTCTTAATTGTAATTTTGCATGTTTTGAAAAAAATGGTAAATGTATGTGAACTTCGACTCACAGACGTAGAATGTCTGTTTTCAATATTATTGTCATATGTTCAACTAAGTAAGGAGTATGTTTTGGTCAAACAGACAACAAGTGTCTGTAATTCATCGTAAGCAGAAACTTATTGTCTGTAAAACCTAAATTAAAAATTACATATTTCAAGAATACCAAATAATGCTACAGTAAATAATTTTTCACAATTACTCTTGATTGTAAAAAAGAAAAAAAATTATAATTACCAATGTTTAGTTACACAAACACTAAAAATATGTAATTCTTTATACACAGACATTTATTATTTGTGTAATTTAGAAGAAAATTTCACCCTTCAAATATATGAAATAGTACAGTACCAAGAACATTTCACAATTTTTTCTACGTTTAAAAAAGAAAAGAAAAATTACAATTAATACTATTTAGTCACACAGACACTAAATGTCTTTATTTTCTTGAACACAGACATTTACTATTTGTGTAATCTGAATAAAACAGCACCACCATCTCTGCCATAATTTACTGCTCCGGTGACGATGATGATGATGATGGCGCCGTTGTGACGCTTCTAGGCGGCTGCGGGGAGCCCACGGCGTGCAACTTCAGGGGGTGCCGAAGATGAAGCTAATCGACCGGTGGGGAGGAAGAGAGATGCGAGATCTAGGGAGGAAGAGAGAATGAGTGAGAAAGGGAAATGATTTGTCTGGTGCTGCGTCGATCATCGACAGGAAGGAAGGGAGTTCAGGGATCTGAGGAGGAAGAAAGAGTGAGGAGGAGAGATGAGGGTAGGATTCGTTATAGAATGAGGGGGTATATATGGTGTTCATTTGGGGTACACCTTGGTGTACCCCTAGCAGGACCGTATTTTTTCTAACATTTTACCACCCGTTTCCATTTTTTCAAAATAAAACTTTAGAATCCCAAAACAACCTAAAAATAGCACTCGTGGTCCCTAGTCGAACCCAAACATTCCTTCACACAGTTAACCATTCCGTTTCACCCAAATCAAGCTTGCCCTAAATTTCCATGGGGTTGAATGATCAAGCCTGCCCTAAATTTCCCTCAAAGCATGAATCTTTGAGCATGTCAGTGGCGGAAAATGGAAGCAAAGAGAAGCATATCGTCTTCCTCAATCTCCATCTTCAATCGCATCAGGTCCAGAAGAAGATTTATCACTCCGAGAATGAAATCTGCAACGGGTACTTCTTCCTCCTTTTTCTTCTCTTCTTCTTCATCGTCCTCACCGCGTTCATTACCCTCCCTCCCTGAAATTTTTCCTACTTCTTCTAACCTACCCCAGTTCAGAAACTGTTTCAATGAAGTAAATGATGCGGATCAGGCCGTGGAATTGTTCCACCAAATGGTTAGCGCCCGGCCATTGCCCTCCACGTTTCATTTCAATAGACTGTTAAATAAAGTTTCAAAAATGAAGCGTTATTCTGTAGTTCTTTACCTCTGTCAAGAAATGCGCCGTAGGGGTATACCCGTAAACGATTGTACCACCAACATTCTGATGGGTGCATACTGCAGCTCAAACCCATCGGACGGCGGGTTTTGTGTTCTTGGTATGATTTTTAAGTGTGGAATGGAGTTCGATGTGATCACGTTCAACATTCTGATCAAGGGTCTCTGCAAAAATAACAAGGTTGTAGAGGCTGTAGAGCTATTCAAGAAGTTGGTTAGGGAGGAAATTTGCCGAGTTGATAATTTCACTTATAATATTCTCATGAATGGGCTTTGCAAGGCAGGTAATACTCAAACTGCTCTTGATTTACTCAAGCTAATGCAAAAGGAGGGGCCTCAGCCTGATAAGATAGCATATACCACTGTGATTGATTCTCTGTGCAAAGATGGGATGGTGGATCCGGCTCTTGACGTTCTCTCTGAGATGACAAAAAGAGGGGTTTTCCCGGATGTCGTCACGTATAGTTCATTGATTCAAGGCCTTTGCAATTCTTGCCGATGGGAAGACGTTAAAAAGTTGATAAATGAGATGGTGCGTCATAATGTGTATCCAGATGTTTTTTGCTTCAATGTAATGGCGTATGCATTTTGCAAGGAGGGGAGGCTGAGAGAAGCAGAATGTGTTATTGAACTCATGATTCAAAGAAACGTTTATCCTGATGCGATCACATACAGCACTTTGATTGAAGGGTATTGTTTGCAAGGGCAGATGGACGACGCTGAGAGAGTTCTTGGTCAGATGGCAGACAAAGGCCCTCAACCCAGTCTTGTGCACTATAACACATTAATCAATGGGTATTGCAGAATAAAAGCAATGGACGAGGCAATGCGTCTTTTTCATGAAATGCCTCAGAAAGGGCTTTATCCTGATGCTGTCTCTTACACCATGATGTTGCAAGGGCTGTTTCTGGTGCGCAGATGTGCCGATGCTTTAAATCTTTTTCATGGTATGCAATGTTCTGCACATAAACCAGACTTTCACACACATTGTGTCTTACTGAGTGGCTTGTGTGGTACCTTACGCATTGAAGAGGCAATGTTAGTTTATAGTCAGTTAGATAGTGACGAGAATGGTTCTCATGTTTTCGGTAGCATCATGATAGATGGGTTGTGCAAGACGGGGCTAGTCAATATTGCACGTGGCGTGTTCAGTAAACTCATCTCTAAAGGTCAACACGTAAACGCATACACATACAATGCAATGATAAATGGGCTGTGTCGAGAGGGGAAAACTGATGCAGCCCTAGACTTGTTAAGGAGAATGGGTGAGACAGACTGCTTACCGGGTACTGTCACTTATACTATTATCTTGCAAGAATTTGTGAGGGACAATAAATTGGAAGAGGCGAATTCGCTATTGGATGAAATGGCTGATAAGGGCGTGTCTCCTGATGGCCGTACATTGTCCGTGATGAATGACTTGCTTGCCCTCCAAACTGGAGACCCTACGGTAACAAAGGCGATGCAGAAGATTGCAACAAATGTTTTGTTCTAAACTGTGACTGGTTCTGTAAGTTGTTTCTTAGCAGATATTCCTGTTTTGCCCTCAAGTCTCAAGTGAGATGTTTGATGCTTTCTTCTGTTAAAGGTATTTTTTGTCTCCAAGCCTAAGCTAAACCTGGTTTTTACATATTTAGCCAATGTGAAGCACACAATATGGTATTATTAGAAAGAGATGCACATTAATATTTTATTTTATTAAATGACTAATAAAAAATACACTCAAATAAAGCTATAGAACACCCTTGAATAGTAATCGTAAAGGGGTTTGATGAATGGAACTCTCTTATCAGAACTCTTCCTATTTTGTTCTTATATACGTGCAAAACCTTTTTTTAAAAATAATTTTATTTACAAATTGATATAAAAATAAAAAGTAAACTTACATATTTAAAAATCACATCAAAAGTTTTACAATACACGTGGCGACAAAAACATTTTAATTTATCAAATGACAAATAAAAAACACAAACAAACAAAAATTATTGAGCACCTTTGAATAGTAAATAGAAAAGAATTTAATCTAGTGACCGGAGGAATTATTATATTGTGATATTTAATGAGTATTTGAAAAAAAATTAATATTCCATGGCCAATCCTTTACTTTTTAAGAATTATAAAGTAAAAAAAACAATATCATAGTGATTGTAAAATAATTTTAAATATAGAAGACGACAAATATAACTACAGTTCGGGGTATTAAAACTCAAAGACCGTACTTGCAGAAATCCCATGTTTAGCAGATAAATTGGACTTTAATCACAGATCGGTGATAAGAAATGAAACATGCAGCTAGTACTTGCAGACGTCATATGTTTAGCATAGTTGTCTCTCAATGCAGTTGTCAGGGATCGAACTCAGATCTATTTTTACCAACTGCACAACGCTCACCGCCTGCAACACCCGAATTGAACTTGGGTGCATGTTGAAACTACAATTATTGCTTCTTTCAGGCCCAATGACAAGAAGATTTAAGGAGTGGGACTCTGGGAGTGGGCCTCTCATTAGTTTGTGATTTTTATGAATGATTTTTTTTTTTTGAGAACTATGAATGATTTATTTGTAAGTCTAGTATTACTCAAATAAAATAGTAAATAAATAAATGTTAAATGAAGAATTATAATAGACTAATAGTTAGTGTAAAACATAAAAGGTAACCAAAAGCTGTTAGGAACGTAAATGTTATTGCACATTTATTATTAATTACCATACATAATGTCATTATTTATAATGAAAATTTTTCCACGTCTATTTTCTTTTCAAATCCCTTGCATGTATAAATATTTGCTCCACCTGTGGATTTATATCATCTATTAATTTTTAGTTTCTACCCAAGTTTAAAAATAATTTTAGTACTAAAGTTTTAAAATTCATTTCATATGTAGGATTGTCACAAATATTTAGATAGAAATAACATAATGTGTGATTCAACTTTAATAATTATTTGTAAATCATAAAAATGATCCAAATTTTAAACGAATGCAATTTTCAAATGCAATCAATAAAATTGATATATTGCATTTCTTATTTAATGTATTTGTTTGTAATGTCTAACCCAATGTAATTCTTCAAATTGGTAATTTGTAATCTAATTGATTTATAATATTATCAATTTAACACAAAGTTCTTAGTTTTAAGTTTATATTTTTTTAATTACTAGTAATATTTGTATTTGGGCAAGTGATTGATGCATATTTTTACTTCATTACTTACTAAATACTACTCGGAGTACATAAATTTCATTGTGTACCTATTAGCTATACTACTAATTTGGGGTTTTTTATAGCGATAACGATGTAGTTCACAAAAAAATTAAACGTCAAATTTCTTTATATTTTATATTTTGATTTAATAAGTTATTCGTTGTTAATTTTACTTTTAAAATAATAAAGTGATTAAATAACATATAAATTCATAGACGCTTCGTCATAAGGGGAAGGTTCCCATGACATTGGGAACCAATGTCATGGGATGGCTTGGGGGCGCTCCGGTGCCTCGTTCGTAAAATTGACGGTTCCTACCCCCTAACCCCTCCGAAAAACCCCCACCCTGTCCCGACCCGAACACACCCTCCACCCCCTTCAATTGCACCCACAAGTCGATTTTGATTTTAGAATCAAATTTTACGAACGGAACACCGGAGCGCCCCTGGGTCATTCCATGATAGGGTGTTGTCATAATCAGCCAATTCATAGAGTTTTTTAGGTGTAGTATTTTGTCAGTGCGCTCGTCCCATCATCTTCACCCTTCACGTGACCTGTCACTTATATCCCCACACCTCATCTCTAAAGGTAAGCATCATCTCCCCCATGAATCTAGTCAAACACTCTCTTTGAATCCAAACAATGAATTGGATATTTGGATGGATGAATGAATGAAATCTCTGGCTCTGAACACATTCAATTCAATTCCCAAGTTTCATAGGGTAATTCTTTCCTGCTCCTGCTCCGCCATGCCGCCGCCGCCTCTCGCCGCCGCCATCCTCGTGTTTTTCCATTTCACGGCAGTGGCTCACGACTGCCCTCCGCCGCCTTCTTCTTCTTCCGGGATCCCCTCTTGCCCGCCGTTCATCTCCGCCCCTCCTTACCCCTTCTCCGCCCTTCCGGGCTGCGGCCACCCTTCGTTCCAGATTCGGTGCTCCTCTCCGCTAGCTCTCATCTCCATCAACAATATCTCCTTTTCTCTCCTCCGCTATGCCTCCAGCTCGCTCCTGATCTCCCCCGCTTCGCCGCCGCCGCCGCGTCACAGCAACTGCTCGATCCCCCAGAGATTTGTTAATCTCTCCGGGTCGCCGTTTCGGGTTTCTGACTCTTCCTGCTCCCGTCTGTCGGTTCTCCGCCCCTGCCCGCCGCCGGTTCTCCCAGATTGCCGCAGCTGCCGGTGGGAATGCGGGCTATTCGAAAACCCTTCTCGACTGGTCGGCGGATGTGGATCCACGCGCCGCCGGAACAATCTCCAGGGGTGCAACGGCGGCATCTTCGAGCTCCTCGACCGGTACTTGAAAATGGGGATTGAGGTGGAGTGGGATGAAAACCACCGAAACGACTCTTATTTCTCCGGCTGCAGAGCTTGCAGATCCAACAATGGAGTCTGCGGATTCAATTCTTCTCACCCCATGAAACCCTTCCTCTGTTTCCGACCACCGACCTCCGACGGGCATCCGCAAATCCGCCAGCGGGCCCCGAGCAGAATCTCAATGCTGAGCCTAGGGTTTCTGTTTGTGTGCTGTATGATTGCTTTCGCTACCGGAGCTCTGATTTTCCGATCACGAAGGAGAGGAGGATTGGACTCCAAAGAGGAACCCACCGCCGTCTACCTCTGCCGCCACCGTGCTGCCACTCTTCTCCCGCCGGAATTCACCTACGAAGAACTCGAATCATCCACCGGTCGCTTCGGCCCGACCCGAAAGATCGGTGACGGCGGGTTCGGATCCGTCTACTTGGGACACCTCCGCGATGGCCGGGTCGTCGCCGTGAAACATCTCCACAGGCATCTCAACGAAGGGCTATCGAAGAAATCGTTTTGTAACGAGATCCTAATCTTATCTTCGATCAATCACCCGAATCTCGTGAAGATCCACGGGTATTGTAGCGATCCTCGGGGACTTCTTCTAGTATACGACTACGTCCCAAACGGAACTCTCTCCGATCATCTTCACGGCACGAGAGGTTCGTGTCGGAGAGGACCGAGGTTGAGTTGGAGCGTGAGAGTGGATATCGCAATGCACGTAGCCATGGCCATCGAGTACCTTCATTTCTCCGTGGTCCCTCCAGTAGTTCATAGGGATATCACGTCGTCTAACATTTTCGTAGAGAAAGATATGAGGGTGAAAGTCGGGGATTTCGGGTTGTCCCGACTTTTGATCCAATCGTCCTCCGGGGATGTTTGGACGGGCCCTCAGGGGACGCCCGGGTACCTGGATCCCGATTACTACAGGTCGTTTCGATTGAACGAGAAGAGCGACATCTACAGCTTCGGGGTGGTGTTACTAGAGCTGATAACGGGACTGCGAGCGGTGGACGAAAAGAGGGAGAAGCGAGAGATGACATTGGTGGACATGGTGGTCCCGAGGATTCAAACCGGGGCGTTACACCAAGTGGTGGACCCGGCATTGTTTGTCGATGGGGAGGTTGTGGATGGTGTTTGTGCGGTGGCGGAGCTTGCATTTCGGTGCGTGGCTTCGGACAAGGACGACCGCCCTGACGCCAGAGAGGTCGCCCTCGAGCTAAGGCGGATCAAGAGTCGAGCTAGGGGGAGCGGCGTTTTGAGGGTCTCAAATTCTAGCAATGCCGTTGTGCCCGAAGGGGTGGGGCCGAGCCCACTGCACGTTGGCATGGCCCCACCCGAGGCGAGTTTAGTTTCATGATGTCGTGTCTAACCTTTTTTAGAACACTGTTTGGCTAATGGTTGTATGAGGGTGAAAAAAACAAAAGATATGCCGAGTATTTATTGTTCTTTGTACTCTGGTCATATACAACTTTAATTTAAGATCCTTCACGAGAAATGTAAAAAAAACATAGCTGACCAAATCATTAAAAAAATGAAAAATTACCCAAAATAATCCCAACTTTACTCGGTTTTTCAAAAATAATTTCACCTTTCACTGTGATGCATAATAATCCCAACTTTACTGAAATTTGCCACTTTTGGGTTGCCGTTAAGTTTCTAACGGAGGGATAACGGAAATGCCCGTTTTAGACAACAAAATGAAAGTTGGGATTATTTTTGATGAATTTTTGTTTTTTAATTTTTTTTTGAAATTTTTATTTAAATTTTTTGAATTACTTTCAAACTCCATTTCTTTTTCTTTTTTAAAGATTATTCTTACCTTAGAAAAAAATAGATATAAAAAATAATGAAAATGAGAAAAATAACTAAAACCATACAAAATTAATCAAATAAATAATGTAATCAATAGAAATTAAACAGAAACTAGTAAGAAATAAAATAAATATTACATTATTTATTTGATTAATTTTGTATGGTTTTAGTTATTTTTCTNATTTTCATTATTTTTTATATCTATTTTTTTCTAAGGTAAGAATAATCTTTAAAAAAGAAAAAGAAATGGAGGTTGAAAGTAATTCAAAAAATTTCAATAAAAATTAAAAAACAAAAATTCATCAAAAATAATCCCAACTTTCATTTTGTTGCCTAAAACGGGCATTTCCGTTATCCCTCCGTTAGAAACTTAACGGCGACCCAAAACTGGCAAATTTCAGTAAAGTTGGGATTATTATGCATCACAGTGAAAGGTGAGATTATTTTTGAAAAACCGAGTAAAGTTGAGATTATTTTGGGTAATTTTTCCTTAAAAAAATAGGAATGCATTAACTTCACATAATCCAAAACATCAAATTCAATTATACTTGGATGATGTTTATTGGAGTATAAATAAATATTTGCAACCACACCACCTAATCCAAAATAATTTGGCCAACTTTAGTAAGCCTTTTTTTCCCATATTTTCATTTCGGGTCTATTTAGGAATAGCGTTAAAGATTAACGTTAACGTTTTGAAAATGCTATCTACGGGCAACGTTTAGTATTAGCGTTTTCAAAATATTCTGTACCGTTAAAATTTTATTCAAAACGCTAACACTCATTTTGATTTTGTTTAAATGTGGGACAGAGGTAGTAGATAATTCCTCTGGTTTTAGTTATCCAATATTCAATTTTAGGATGTCCGAAATAAATTGTTCGTTTCTGTTATTTACTAAAGAAAAAATTTGGAGGAAATGCCAAATTTTCCGTATAAAGTTGAGACGAAATACACTTGTAGAAAAGTGTGACGGTTGTTACAATTAGTCAAAGTGTTTCATTCAAAACTATGAAATTCAAACAAAAAACTGTTGTGGAACAGAGGAAAAATACATAGTGTATATACTTGGTCAAAGCATTGCACTCTAAAACGTGAAAATTAAAACGGGTACGTTTAATTGCATGAGGGATGAATCGATGATCACAATGTCATGTTTGCGGCAATTAAAATGATAGTTACTTAAAATGTTGCATTGAAGATCAAGAGTACGTGAAAACCGCTGATACCGCGGTTGGACACTTGGACCGATGAATCAATGATGGTGTTGTGAGCCCACTTGTTTCATTTCAATGATATTCATAATTAGTTAGTTGTGTAAGTTCCATAATTCTATAGAGACATGTTCATTATATAATGGAATAGAATAAAGTTTCATGAAAGTAATACTAAAGTTAACCTTCTTATCTGGTAAATTGTTTAGTAGAAGCCCAACTCTGGTTCTTCTTGGTGAGTTGAATGCCATTTCCAACAAGCTCTTGTGTGCCTTGTTGCACAGAGTTTTTCAATCCTGTTCAAGCTGAATGCCTGAATCAGAGGGGAGAGAACCAGACTGCAGAGTGTTCCCACACAGAGTTATATAAATGGGATCCCTTTGTCCCAAAAAAACTTTGCCCATTTATAATTTGTTTAGATGAGAAGAATCTTGTGAGCCACATGTTCGTTACTAGAAATGAATAAAGTGGGAAGTGTTTTTCGGGACGTCCAAAAGAGAAAGTGGGTAAAGTTTTTTTGGGAGGGAGGAAGTAGTATCGATATCTACTTACCTTTAATTAAACCGGAACTCCATCCTTCTCCGAGGAAATGTTTCTTAAACCTACATCAGGTTCTGGTGAAACTGCATTAACAAAAGGTAGGAAACCATTGACTCTCCGACTGGAGTGTATTTAATACCATAGTTTTTAACTTGAATTGAAGGGTCAACTAGGTCATGGGAAATAGTTGGAAAATAAAATAAAAAGGGAAACGTAAGAAAATAACTTCCATCCTCTTTTTTTCCTTTCCATGGCATTTTCCGGTACCCAGGCAAAACCTAATGCATACCAAAGACATGAAGAAGGAACTGTAGCTTAAGCCTTAAGGCAATACTGAGAAATTATGACATATGAGACACTAGAAATTACAAATAAGCATTTATGCCAGATAAAGAGTCCATGAAATGTAGGAGGTGAATGAGTTTCTTCTACAAAAATAAGGCGACATAGCCAGGAGATAGACTGATAAGAAATAAAAAGTCTAATGAACCAACTTACTTGTAGTTTCCTCATCTATAACCAAAGACTTGTCTTGAAAATTTTCCTTTTTGTTTTGTGCTTCATCTTCTGTCATTGAGCCTCGAATGTTACTAAATATCAAAAGGATACTAAAAATTGTTAGAATAGAGTTCCGTACAGCCCCTCTTCACTGTTGAGCAGTGCTTGTAACATGAAACCCTGCAAAACAAATTGGCTCTTTTTCGGGACAGATGGAAAATACCTTGAAGCATCCTCCACCGTTCTAATAGTTACATGTTCATCTTCTTCATCCTTTCTAGTAGTTGCACTCTCCTGATGCTCAAATACAGTAGTGAAAATCTTTCTGTCCTGGAAAAATAATATCGAAAACACTTCCAAATTAGTAAAAAAATGAACATGAAGCATTAGGCCAAAGAGGTTTTTTCACACAAGGCAATCTATTGATGAGAAATGACCATATGATTGCATAGATCACTAGGCTAATGGTTTTACCAAACTAAATGTGTATAAGTTTACTGCTTAAGGAGTGAAAAGTATATAGTATTAAAAAATAAGTTGCAGTCCTTTCACATTCAAGTTACTGAAACTGATAAGAGTAATATATGTTGCCATTCACAATTTCAAAAATAAGAATAAAAAATAAATGTATAAAGCTAGATCACCAAGCACTTCACTTCATGCTCCAGCTGGAGCTTTTTTCAGGAAAATAAGCAACTAACCTCTTCATTCATATTTGTGACAGCATCTTGGATCTTCTTCATGACCACGCCAAAAGTGGCCACTTCAAAATGTAATTCCTAACAATCAAGTATCGAGAAACATTGGTTAGTTGAACACACGATGAAAAACAAACACCACATCATTCCTCATACCGTGTTCTCTGACATTAGGGTCTGTATAATTAGTTCCTTCACTGACAGATCTTGCTGGAGGTGTGATTAGTTAAGACAAAAGACATATCATTTGAAGCGGCATTAAAAAAGTTTGTTATTGATCATAAAAAAGTTCATTATTCAAAGTTGAAAGAATCAAAATGAAGGCTTGCTTGTATGGATATCTGCTCGATCTTTGGTTCAAAATCCCTTTTAGTATTTGCTGCCTCAAGTTGCCACTCCAGACTTACAATAGTTTGGTCTCTTTTCCTTAGCTCGAGTTCCTTGTTCCTCAATTCTCTTTCCAGGTTATTTATTTTTTCTACGAAGAGAATAATAAATATAAACGATATGACTTGCAGATATCATGCAAAGCAACAATACTTTAAAAATCCATGTGTTGGATGTATTGGATAATGACATAAGAATGTGACCAAGATTCAATGAGCACATGGAGGCGGAAAAGTACCTACAAATAGTTTCTCAAATGCTGAGACCTCATCAATTTTACTCCTTAGCTCCGCAACTGGAAAAGGCAATAGAAATTTGGGGGGGGGATAGAGAAGAAGAAATTGGGAAGCAAAACAAAACCAATCAGTAACAACAAATGTTTGGATTGAGTGGATCTATATGTAGGGCTATAGCACGAGTGACAAAAAGAATACATATGTACTAGAAATGAACCATCAAAAAGTGTTATTTATCATCTTGCTTTCTGTTACTCTATAAGTCGGAAAAAATGGTCAGACATTTTAGTCTTTGACTTGAGTCCCCGACCTTAAAAAACATGTCATGTTTTGGTATGATCTACAGTCCCACATATAAACCTCATTCATCCAAGAAATTTCTTCCAATACTCACAAAATCTACATGCCTACTTCCTCTCTTGCACTCAGAGCACCGTGTGCATCATCAACTACTTGCTTGATGGAGGAAGCCTCCTTTTCAATAGAAGCAAACCACATGGAATGAGCTTTTATCTTTTCAGAGAGGATATCAATTTTTCTATCTCTGGCTTCAATAGCCCGTCTCATTTCACATGTAGAATCCTGCAAATTTAATGTCAGGATTGAAGAACGAGAAATATGATACAAGTCAAATCAAGACGACGCACAACATGATACAATTCTCAACCAAAAAAAGCGAATCGGTTAAAGCGAAAACATTGTCAAATCAAACAAATGAACCTCATAGGCCTGGATGAAACTTTCACTTGATTCCAGAATGTTGTTTATGGTTCCCTTCAGTTCTTTCTGCTGGCTCTCAAGCAAATCATTGTCATTTTGTAGACACCTCACCTGCCATCCCATGACAGAAATCATCAACCCACACTTCCCATACACTTAATTCATATCATTTCAATTTCAAAGTTACAATGCAGTTTAATCCATTCGGGGTGCTTGTTTTGAAAACCATCGAAAGAGACATTTTGACAAACACTTAATCTGCATTCACCATTCTATCTAGCTTCTGTCTCAGCTCATCCGACATACACAATTCCATGCTAACTCCAGCCAATTTCCCTTTGAATTCTTCCTCATTCTGCTTTTGCTTCTGAAACAGACCAATTTTCAACACTTGTAAGGCATTCACTCAGACACATTACATAGAGACAAATTAGAGTTGATATAGATGAACCTGGACCGTGAGTTGGAGCTGCTCTGAAGCATGGCGCTCTCTTTCCTGCGAAGTTTCAAAGGGAAACAAAAAAAAAGAAGAAGAATGAGATTTCCAGGACGGGAGAGAATGAAGAAGATAAGGGTGAATTTTTGATTTACTTTGAGTTCTTGAGCTTCGCAAATTAGGGCATGAAGCTGGAGCTTGAATTGTGAGAGTTTGAGAAGCTCCATTTTTTACCCGCAAAATTTCCCAGTGGTTTGATCCAAAATTCAGTTCCAAATTTGTACTATGAGATATCAAGCATGGTAAGCAGGTAAGGTACACCAACAATCCACTACCATTCTCACCCTTCACACTCATATAAAATAGGAGAATGCTAAAGAGGCACCACATTTGCCTCCAAGCATGCCACCTAATATATTTAATTTTTTTTTAATTTTCCTTTTTTCTTAGTTTTTTCCTCTCCCACCTTCTTCTCCAAAATTCCCAAATCTCCCTTCTCTCACTTCAACCTCCACAAGCGACAGAATTCGGACAACTCCAACTCCACATCCTTCTTCTCCGTCGAGAGCATAGCAGCGCCGGCATTCCCACCCCTCCAACTCCAGCGCCGGCAGGCCCACCCCTCCAGCTCCAGCGCAGGCAGCCCCACCCCTCCGAACAAGTAATGTATTTTTTGGGGAAACACTTTAGATTTTGGATTAAGTTATATGTACATTTTTTGGTGTAAATGTAACATGGTCCTTAGCATGTACCCCACTTGTTATTGGACTCTGTGAAATAGGTTTGCTTGTTATTTCTGCTTACTGTGCGAATTGTATGGCATAGATGGTTAAGTTCTATTATTTAAACTTCATATAACATTATTGTCTGTGAAAGAGGTCTGCTTGTTATTTTTGCTTGCTTTCTGTGAATTGTATCTCATAGACGATTAACTTCTGTTTATTGAACTTCATAAAACATTATTGTTTGTGAAAGAGGTTTGCTTGTTATTTTAATACTATTTTCCCTTACAGGTATGGCAATTGTGGAGTGATGGTGCTAGCATTTCTAGAGTATTTGTTGCTAGCCTTACCATTAAGCCCGGACTGCAGTTCTGGACACATGGCTGATTTCCGATGTCAATTTGCAGCTAGGTTATGGCGTGGAAGGAAAACAACTAATATTTAATTTACAATTTTAGGGATCTTTAATTTTTGTGAAACTCTTTGTAATGGTTTTTGTGTTTTGTAATATATTTTTTGGGGAAACACTTTAGATTTTTTTGAAAGCTTTGTAATGGGGCTTTTAGCATCATGAATTTCTACTTGTTAATGAACAATCTGTTACTGTGTGTTATGAATGATTTACCTTAGTTTATGACTGAATTACAAATTTAATTTTAGAGCCCTCACAGAGAATAACCGTCTATTTTACCTGTTACACAGAGCTTCAACGTATGTGACAGAGTTACATAATGTTATGCACTTCAGATTTTTTTGATTTTTTTGTAATGGGGCTTTTATCATCATGAATTTCTACTTGATAATGCACAATCTGTTACTGTGTGTGATGAATGATTTACCTTAGTTTATGATTGAATTACAGATTTACTTTCAGATCCCTCCCAGAGATTAACTGTCTATTTTACCCATTACACAGAGCTTTAATGTATGTGACGACAGAGTTACTTAACGTTATGCACATACACCATCTTCAGAAT